CATTGGGGGACACCACTACTGCTCACAGTGAAAACCAGGGATCCTGGTTTTCTCTGACTGAAAAAAAAGAAAAATTCCCAATTTCTGGATATAAAAAATAACCCCAAATTAACGTCATGTATATATATATATATATATGACGTTTGTTTTTAATCCTGGGAAAATGCAGATTTTGGGTTATTTTTTTATATTAAAAAATTGGGATTTTTTTTTTAAATCAGAGAAAACCAGGATCCCTGATTATCACTGTGAGCAGTAGTGGTGTCACACTAGTGTCCTGACCTTTTTAAAGTTCTTTGTAGATATCATAACAATTGAGAGTTTTAAGAAAGGTGTTGAAGAACATGGGATGGCTCTGTGCATCTCTTCAGGGAGTTATTTCCTTGTAAGAAGGACAGCATGGGAGTAAGGATGAAGGCTTTTTTTTTTTTCCTTTTTTTTTTTTTAAGTTAGCAAATAAGCGATGCAGGCTGACACCTTCACCATCTTGGTATCATATAAGGAAACAGAGGATAAGCTATGAAGAATCTGAGGAGCAAAGCCAATTTCACTGATGAGAAGTGGAAGAAAACTGACACAGGGAAACAAAAGGCTAGGATATGTTGTCCAGGCACTGAGATAAAAAAAAATGATTGGTCATTTCAGCTGGATGCAAGTGGGGACACGACGCAAGGTATCTAAGCCAGAAGAAGGATGTGTGTTCTGGCCTATTTGCTATATAGGCATGGTGGGGTAGGCCCACCGGGAAACAAGAAGCCTCTCTTAGTGGTTAGAGGGAGGCCATTAACTGTATAATGATTGATTTCTTGGGGGGTGTGGTGGACCAGTAGGGGGCACTCACATGCTGAGCCACCCACCTCACTGTGCCTGTCCACCTACCAAACTCCTCATGCCTCCCCTGGGCCACCTCACATCTGGCTGACCCCCTTCCTGGAGCACATTCACAAGCCTAGGGTAATCGCTGCCACCACCCAGAAGGCTGGTCTGTATCTGGGCCCTGTGCCGCCTGGGGTGCACAGGCCTTGTAGATCTTGAGGATGCTTGACCCATTGTGAGAACTTGGGGTGCTTTCTTTAGCCTGAAGCACAAAGAGTAGCCTCCCTTAGTTGGCTGAGCATAGGGAGCTTAAAAGCTTGCCCCAGTCCCTCACCCAGTGAGTCCATCACACTTGTTATAGTGGAGAGCTTTATTGGTTAAAGAGGACAGGCTTGAGGAAGGGTACAGGATAGAGAAGTATGAAAGCATAACCCACAGCAAACCATGTCAGCTTAGTAGCTGTTTGATCTGCTTCTACATTACAGTCAGCTATATATCTAGATAAGTTCCAAGTAGTTTACTCACTTCAGCATCCTGAGAGAGAGGGAAAGAGAGCTGCAGATGTTCCAGTTGCTGTATGTAACTTAACATGGCTGCCGCCCATCTCCTGGGGAGTCTCAGCTTTATATAGCCCTTTTGACTTCACCTTTGAGACCCAGTCAAGGCCAGGTGTTGTTTGATGCTGACTAACCAATTTAAAAAGCTTCACTGGTCACCTAAGAGAGTGATGTGGGTTCAAGCCCCTGCCCCATGCGATGAGGTCAGTGCTAACACAATAGAGAGGTGGAGTTCCAGCCCTTTACCTGAAGTCCCTCACCTCCATGGTAACCCAGGTCAACCAGATTGACAGACAGGTGAGAAGACAATGGCAAGGAAAAACCTAATAGAAGAGTTGTGGAAGAAACTGGGATGGCATTCTTCCACGGGGGTAAAAGATGATAAAGCAGGAGTATGAGTGTGGGTCAAAGGTTAATAACTAGGGTCTCAACGGGAGACACTGAGCAGAAAAAACCGACCAGTGGGTTTTTTTCAGATTGTGAGGGGATTAGGGGCCAGTTGAGAGTTTTAGTGGTTTTATAATTGTCTTACAGTCCCCCAGGGCTCTCGTGGTGGGTGTCAGCTTCCTTTCACCCGATGCACTCTGATCTGGACTGAAGACTCTTTGCAGGCCCCAATCCTGTGTAGTGCTATGCAATGCCTGTGGGGTGCTGAGAAGCCCCCAGCACTTGGTAAGATCAGGTCCATTGCTCCAGATCAGTCTTGCATGGAAGGAGCAGTTTCAAGGGCATCTTCTTCCTGCATTTTATGGACCCACCAGAGAGAACATATGTGGAGGGGTAGTTTAACTTCTTCAGTGGTAATTATGGATGATGCCATGTCAAAACACAGGTGTGCATGCACAGCTGATTTGGGGGGACGAAGCGGGGAGGTGGGGAAGGGAGGCATCCCAGCCCTGGGTCTGGTTTTAGTTTCACCCACTCAGTTCAGGTACAGTGCTCATCTGTCACACTGTGCATTTGTTGGGGTGGGTCATCAAGGCCCATGGGTAACTCAGGCAGAAGGATCTGTACATGTTGAGTACCAAGGGTTGTTACTCTCCCATTCCCAGACTCCTTATCCAGGAGCACAACCATGCCCTGAGCTGGCAGTGCAGGGGAAACTTGTTCCTTTTCTAGGGTCTTGGATTAAATCAGTGCACCAAATCCTGCAGTCTTGGTTTTCATTCAGTTCTTCCAAAGACAGAACTGAGGTCCCTGAGATTTTTGGCTGATTGATTTGTATGAAAAATGCATGAAGATTCATGCCATGCATTCTTCAGTGAATTTGAAGAATGTACGGACACGTTTGCAGCCTTCAGTTTGGAGCAGAGTGGAAGGGAACAGGACCAGGTGAGAGGAAAGGAGTGAGCGTGTTTATGTCTACCATAAACTTAACCCCTGGTTAGGCTTGCGTTGTGGGTGGTACCAGCAGTTTGCTCTTCCCTCTGAAGCATCAATGTTGGGTAACGTAGCAGAGATTATGGAGGTAATTGCACTATGCAGATCTGATCTGATCTGGCAGTTCCAAGGGAACGGGCAGATGACAACTAATGCATACAGTATAGCAACAGGAAAGAAGAATTCTTGGGGTATAGAGATGGCCAGGTTGTCACCCATCGAGACCTGCAATGCAGCTACGGCACCACTTCTGCAAGGGCCTGGGGCTGGCAGATGTTCAGGGTCTGTCAGAGACGTTAGCAGGAAGCCCAGCCTGGGATTATTGCCCAGGCAGTTATGCCTCCCTTGGGTCTCTGGCCTAATCAGCAGGACTTTCAGCCCCGGCAGGGTGTCTAATGTTAGAATGTAAAGTTAGTGCCCAGAATTCAAGGTGAAGAAGGACATTTACTTGAGTACCAGTGGTCTTGCAAGCCTGACATTCAGAGTAGATGCTTACCAATGGTGCCTCTTGCAAACATACTGGAGGTTGGGATAATTTGGTTCAGGGCCAGATATGCTAGCAGAGCATGCTTATGGGTCCAGAGGGTGCAATGGGCATCATTCAAGGGTGCCAATATCACCTTTCTTGCTGTGCTCCAATTTCTTGTAGGCAAGGTTCTTCGGGTAGATATGATATCTTTTATTAGACCAACTAAACAGTTGGAAGCAAAGTTCTTTGCAAGCTTTTGGGCACAAACACCCTTTGTCAGGCATAGAGGGATGAGCCTACAGCCCTCGCTTCATAAATCTGCTGGATACAAAAAATCATGGACCTAATACAGACGTTGGATTTATGACACATTACAACCTGCCTGACATCTGATACTGCAGGTAACCTGCTTCCAGCTGACCACTTGCATTTCGTCATACATTTCCCTTCCTTCCTCCCCTCCTCTCCTGTCTACCCATTTTCTTCCCAACTTCCACTCGTTTGCATTATCACAGACATGCTTGGTGTAAATTAGTTTCTTTTCTACCTTGGAGAACACATAACATCAGCAGAGTCTCCCTATGCCTGAGTAAAAGTTTGCAAAGAACTTTTTTTCTAACCATTTAGTTGGCCTAATAAAAGATATCATGTCTACCCAAAGACCCTTGCCTGCCTATGTCCTTAGACCAACATAGCTACAGCCAATAACTCCCCCACCCCCATTTATTATATGCCTGTTTGCCTGTCAGATGGAGATCACATAATTCATGATTTCCAGATTTTCCAGAATTCGCAGAATAATAGAAAACAAGGGTTGGAAAAGACCTCAGGAGGTCACAGCTAGTCCACCCCCCTGCTCAAAGCAGGACCAGCCCCAACTACATCATCCCAGCCAAGGCTGTGTCTGCCTGGGTCTTAAAAACGTCTAAGGGTAGAAAATCCAAAACCACTCTGGGTAATCTGTTTTTGTGATTTACCCCCTTCTAGGAAGAAAATTCTTCCTAATATCCAACCTCAACTTCCCTTGCTTCAACTTGAGCCCATTGCTCCTTGTTGTGTCACCTGCCCCCACTGAGAACGGTCTGGCTCCATCCTCTTTGGACCCACCCTATTAAATGCCTTCTCAGTCTTCTGCAGAGTAAATAAGCCCAGTTCCCTCAGGAGTTGTTTTTGCTTCATCCCTTCCACGTCTCACTTCTTTCCCTTCATTTATATCTCTCTGCCACCCTACTCCCCTTTTTTCCTTCCTGTATTATGTATGTTTTCCTTCTTTCATCCCATCTATTAGACTTTGATCATTAATTTAAGTTCACCTGCCTTCTGCACCTTCTCAAAATCTCTTTCGGAAACTTCCCACAGAAGATGTCTATGAGCATTCACGGGCTTGAGACTTTAATTTCTAACAGCTCTGCGACTGAGACTTCCTAGAGTGTAACTTGGAAGCTGGAAATACCCATTTACAGTTACGGCAGAGCACGAATAGCAAACGCTTGTAACAGTTCTTGTGCACCGTGTGCTCGTATTGCACTTGATCAGCTTCCCTGGTGAAGAAGTGACTTGTCAGACTTTGGCCTTTCTTGTCTCATTTTTCTGTGCGTTCATTTGCCCATATGTTAGTTGCTCCATGCAGCAGTGTGAAGGAAAATCCATTTAAAACACATAATCCTTTTTCTTTTTTTGGAACAAAGTGCTATTTCTTTGTCTTTTCTTTTTCTCCTGTTGACAGTGACTTCCTTGGAAAGAAGCCTTAGATCCCTGGGGACCTCAAACGATACACAAGAGCTGCGAGATGGACTGTGAGTCTGTACTGTATTGCTACAGATTTCTCTTTTACCTTTTACTTATCTATCCCTGCACCCTCGGTAACTTTTCACCAGACTTTCTCTATTGTGTTTCTTCATGCTTATGATTCATGATGGTTGGAAATGCATTTATCTTATAAAGCTTCCCTTGCGCTAGTTTTTGGGTTGGGGAGGAAGGTAAGTAGATAATGGAAAATGATCACTCGTCCCAGACATGCTATTTTGTTTAATGTGAATGAGATGGCTGGAGTTGGAAGCTGATAGAGGTTTCCCTTGCCAAAGGCAACCAAACAAGTTGGAGGAAAGAGGGAAGGAATAGCAGGATGGCATGTTTATAGGGAGAAAACTGGCCTGGGACACTACACCTCAAAATTACCCACATCAAAAGAATTGTAAGTCATGTCTTGCTTTTGGTAGATAAAAATTGCTAGCCCTTCTCTTGCACATCCCTACACAGACACTGTTACTTTTCATCGTATGGGCACTAATCAGAAAATTAAAATGACCTTTCTGTATGTAGTGCATTAGGATGTTAAAACTTCATCATTTTTAGCAGTCAGGCTAACAAATTCACCCCCTCCCTCCACCCCTGAACTCAGTATTGCTGTCATGAGGGGACCCTGTGAAGCTGAGGACAAGACTTTGGTTCTGCTTCATTTCATAGTTTCATGATTTTATCTCATTGTCCTGGAAACCCCAAATGCCCCAAGGGTCCTTTTTTTCTATTTCTTTATTTCTTCAAGATCCAGTAATACAGCCAGTGCCTTCTAGAGAAGGAAGAAGCGGCAGAAGTAGTTTCTGAAGCCCTCAAGGGCTCGCTGATTTTTTCCCTGCCCCTGCCGTGCTGCTATTTTCTGTGGATGTTTCACCCGTATAAAACATATGGGTGTGCTGCTGAACTTTTCAGCCAAAGTAGGTACATTGAGCTCCTGTGTACTTCCTCGAGGTAGTTTGTACACTTGGCTGTACCTAGGCAGGTATGCTTGGCTTTTGGGTATATTGAACTGTTCAGTCCCGCAGATGCCATTCTGGCTTTGCTTTTACCTAGCGTGTTTAGAAGAGTGACGGTGATTAACCTCCTCTCTTCTAAAACAGATGTTGCTCTAATTTAAGTCATGTACAGACATCCAGTGACTCCTGGGAAAATCATTTCTCTCCCAGGAGAAACTATGAGTGTTCACATGTTCAGGATTTTTCTTCCAAACCAAAAATGCCCTCTCTTGGAGGAAAAAAAACAAAACCAAAACCCCAGGGACGGTCAGTGTTAAATCACTCTAAGGAGAGTTGATCTCGAGAGAATGAATGTCTGTATGCATTCTCTACTGAGAGAAGCCACAGCACAGTCCTCATGAATCCCAAGGTGCTTTGCCACTCCTCTCCCCATATCCTACCCAGGCAATATTGTGTTACTCACTGGGCTCTTTTTGCTCCAGCAAACACTTCCCCTTCCCAATCCACACATTGTGATACAGGAAGATGCATGCTGACCCTGAGCAGCCAATCAGGGCTGCCTTGTGCACTGCTGCCACCTATCTTGAGGCAGACTGAGGGAGCCTTTGCTCCCATAAGCTCTGTAAGCTGTCTGTTCTCCAGGGGCTCAGCATTTAAAGATCTGGTCAGGTGTCTGTTGGGTAATTTTTTTTTTTGCCAGGAAAACAAACATAGGAGTATTCTCCCAGATCATCTGAATGTGTGTACGCAGCCCTAGACACACCCAGTACAGCCAGCCCCAAGACACCCGAAGACCAGAAGATTGACCCCAACATCTTGTGATGAAAAATGCATCAAATCTCATTTTTAGTCTGTCTTTTAACTTTAACACGCCTCTCTACTTCTGCCTGTGTGCGGTGGTTTCAGGTTGAAAAGTCAGCTTTTGATGTACACAGCACTGTACGCCTCCTCCTGGCACCTCAGGCGGACTCCACATCCTCCCTTCTCACCCCCGCGACAGGAGAGCTGCCATCAGTGTCCTGTCACTGTTTTGATTCTCCCTTCCCAGTACCTCGTCTTCCTCCAGTGCTCCCATGGGTCCTGTAATAGAGCAGGAAAATGAATAATTAACATCCAGAAAACAAACACCATTGTCCATACAAATTGATTTTTTCCCCCAATTATTTTCTAATAAAGATTTATGCGAGCGACAAGGGTGCTTGTCTAAGAGTTTCTCTGCAAGATTAAATGTTTTGCTGGCTGCTGGACACCCCTATTCTGAGGATAACTTTCTGTACCTACAGCCGTAATGGTATTTGGAGAACTTTAAATTCTTTTTTAAGAAACAATTCTCATTTGTTCAAAGCATTACAGTCCTTCTCTTTGCCTTGTGTAATTCTGGTATACTCTGTAAATACGTACTTTACTCAGCCGTGACAATCAGTGATTTCATTTTTAATTTTGGAAATAGGGTAACTTTGAACTCCCCACCCTGCAGCCTCCTGTGACTCTGGAAGGGTGTCCTGCTGCTTCGGAGCAGGGGAGAACTCCCTGGTTTGTAGGAGGCAAGGTGTGCAGCCCTTAACTTAGCAGAAGCTTTCTCCTCCCCACCCCGCTCCTTTTTTTTTGTGCTCACTGTTGTCTCAGATTTGCTAAGAGGGCACGGCACAATGCTGAGGGCAGGCCTAGGTCCACAGGGATTTATAATGAGTTGTGCCCATAATGCCTGTGCTGTAGACCAGGAGTGCTGGTCAGGTCTGGCCCATGGAGTCATGGCATCCAACCCACGAGGATCTCCACGGGTGAGAATAATGGGCAGAAGTGGGAGCTCTGTGGGTTGGATCCAGCCCTGCCTGGGCCATTGCTGCACAACAGGATCAGGGCCTGGCCTGCTCCCCACTTTTCCGGATCAGGCTGGGCTGCTCAACTTCCACACCCCACACATCCAGATTAAGGCTGAAAAGCTCCACCTCCTCACGTATTGCAGTCGGGGCCTGGCTGTGTCCCACCCCCGAACCCCCTTTGCCCCGTACCTTTTCCAGATCAGGGGTGGGCTGTCCACCTTCCACCCTACGCTCTCTCCCCTCCCGGCAGATGGATCAGGGTTGGACCCTGCACCCCCCTGTGGCCTGATCCAGCCCAGGCCACGCTGACTCTGTATTATGGATCAAACCCACCAGCTGGATGCTTCGTGCAGAGGGACCTGGCCGGCAGGGTAAAAAGATTGGGCACCACTGGTGTAGACACTCGATTTCTGCGATTCCTAAGAGCTGGCAAGAATGCACAACCTACGCATGCAGCAACATCCTGTTGGTTAACTGCAAAAAAGATCTCTGAGGCTGGGTGCTGTCTCCCCCATGTTTCCCCTTAAGTGCCCTCTAACCCAGAAGGGACGGAGACAGCAATGAATGAACATGTGGCTAGTTTATCTCTTTTGCTGTTACGGCGAATACAGTAGTCTTTGAGTAGAGTTTTATTTGGACAATAAAATTGCCACATGGCCTGGTTTTATATTTGCTTTGTGAGGGTGGTGTTGGGAATAGGGGGATGTGAGGGGGTGTGGAAGGGAGGACTTCACAAGAAGTCGGTTTCCATAGTGCTTGCAGCTGTTGAAAGGCCGTGCAGAATAAAGTGCTCGAGCCAGCACAGGAATGGTGTAAGAATCAGCTTGTTTTGTTGGCTTCTCGCACTCCTGTTCATACACGTGCAAACACACATTTTGTCTCATGCACATGCTGCACGTAAGGTCTTGTCTGTGTAAGGAACTTGGTCTCAGTGAAGATAGACTGTGACTGTAAAGCAGATTAGCTCTTCCTGAACAATTCCCTGCGTGCACACATGTTGTGCTGAAGTAAGAGCACCTTATTCTGAATTGGCTTTATCCACATTTATAGACGCTGTCTTTTCTTGCCTACCACATACCCCCAAATAAGATGAACATGAGCCTGCAATGCGATGCCGTGGCTAATAAAGCGATCAAAACGCTGGCTTGCATCCATAGATGCTTTTCAAGCAAATTCTAGGATGTCCTTCTCCCCCTGTACTCAGCCTTGGTGAGGCCGCAGCTGGAGTACTGCATCCAGTTTTGCGCTCCACAATTCAAAAAGGATGTGGAGAAGCTTGAGAGAGTCCAGAGAAGAGCCACGTGCATGCTCAGAGGTCAGGAAAACAGACCTTACAACGACAGGCTGAGAGCCATGGGGCTCTTTAGCCTGGAAAAGCGCGGGCTCAGGGGTGATCTGATGGCCACCTATAAGTTTATCAGGGGTGACCACCAGGATCTGGGGGAATGTTTGTTCACCAGAGTGCCCCAAGGGGTGACGAGGTCAAACGGTCATAAAGTACTGCGAGACCGTTTCAGGCTTGAAGGAAGAATTTCTTTACTGTCCGAGCCCCCGAGGTCTGGAACAGCCTGCCGTCGGAGGTGGTTCAAGCACCTACACTGAACACCTTCAAGAGCAAATTGGATACTTATCTTGGTGGGATGCTATGACCCGAGCTGACTTCCTGCCCTTTGGGCGGGGGGCTGGACTCGATGATCTTCTGCGGTCCCTTCCGGCCCGAATGTCTATGAAATCTATGAAGATCTGCACCTTGTTTTTGCACAGGCAGGATGGAGGAAAAAAGTATTTCCCAGAGTTATGGCCACGAAAAACAGGAACAAAGCCTAATCGTCACCCCGCTCACCCTCACTTTGCTTCTGAAGCAAAGGATATAAGTTTAACCCTTTTACAGCTGGATTTTCAGCAGCTGTTGGTTGCTCAGCCAAAAGCTGAAACTGCAGTTGCTGCTGAAGGCTGGCCTCCATGCGTGAATCTAGGATTTTGGAAAGAGCAAAAATCAGCCTGCAGGGCTGTAAAATAAGAGGAGAGAGACCAGGAATAAGTAACAGATAGCAAAATTGGTGAACAAAGGATAGTTAGACTGGTTCAAAATTAAGGCCATTAAAAGAGAGAATTGTTAACACTAGCAGAATGAAGAATGATTTGCAGGAATTGGGTAGATTGTAATGGACCATTAAGTCACTGACTCTATCAAAACTGCCTGAATAGAAGTGCCATTCC